GCTCTTGGATTTCAGTCTGGAGCTGTACTACAGGTGTGGCATTGATTCTTGGGAATAATTAGGTTATTATCTGGAAATTCAAACTCCAGATACCCCAGCAAAATAATCACACCAGGGAAAGCTTTAATTAGAGAAATGTAACATGTTTTGGTAAGATCACTTCATTGCTTTCAGACATTTTATTTCATGGGCAGTGGTCAAAGTTTTTACCTCTTGTTCTGAATCAGGAAATGCAGAAAACAGAACAAAAGATTTTCCAGTATCTCGAGGTGTGTCTACATTGCGATTGTAGTGCTGTTTAGAAATACCTGAGTCAAATTTAAAGAACTGGTTTGTGTACCCAAAAGTAGTAACATGGAGCTTCACGTGAGCTTGTTTCCTCTGCAGAGAAGCAAAGCAACCTGGCCGACTCTAACGTGTTACCTTAACATACTACCACATACCCCATGTAAACTTGCAGTTTATGAAGGTACAACTGATCGGAGGTAGGAAATCCTAGACAGGGAGTGATCCAAATCTATTGACTATATTCCTTACCACTGAGATTTTTTCCAGCCTACAGTTTTGCCTGAATACGGACCTTATAAGTTTTTCTGTCTCTCACTTTTAGTTTTCTCTGATGCTGAAAATGCTAGCAGCTCTACCTACAGGAATTTGGTAGCCAGTGTGGGCTGTTTGTTTCGGTTTGTGGGCTTTTTGTTTGTTTGGGGTTTTTTTAATTATTATTATTTCTATGCCAAATTTGAATTGTGTTTTAATTTGTAATTTTCTTCAGTATGGAATACATGATGTGACTCATTTCTCTTTGGATATGTCCTGCAAGAAAGCTAGGGGAAAAAAGTAAAATGCACATTTAAGAAATGCCAGGTGGCACCATCTCTAGTGCTCCCAGTTTATCATTATTCTTGTCCAGCATTCACACTGACAGCTACTTCATTGCTTGTCACTTTGGGAGACCGATCAGAGTTTTGGGTAACTGGCACTAGCAGCCAGCAGTCTTGGCAATGAAGTTTTAACCATTTATTCATGGACTCAGTTCTTCCTAAGCCACGGAAAGAAAGCTCTGGTGACATTTTTCCAGTTTCACATACAGACCCTTAGCAAATAGCGTGGCACCTTCGTTTCATAAGCACAGAAAAGTGCTGGGGGGTGGAAGCAGAGTGAGAAAGGTCTCTGAGGAGGTGACCCAAGGCCTCTGTGTTGGTGCCACTGAACCTTCAGTACTTTCCCCATTTTTTTCTCCTGTGTCATCCGCATACCTCCTCCCTTTCCTGCTTAGAGAGGGGCACATTTTGGAAAGTAATTTCCCTGCCCAGCATATTTAGAAATAGGCTAGTGACACTGCAACTTTAAATAGCAACCTAATGTGCAAAGGCAGGATTTATGGGCACTGTCAGTTCATTGAGCAGAAGCAGCTCCCTGGAACCGTCCCCTCCTGACAGCGAAGCCAGGGCTGTGCAATGACTCTGCACATTTAGTCCAGAGAGTCTCGGAGTCGCATCCTCGGTGTGCTCATCAGCCCCAAGGGGAATCACCTCTGAATGAAGGAATGGCTGTGAAACTGAGATTCCAGGCTGTAGGAACCTGCGGACTTCGAACTCGCAAGAACACTTTCAGATTCCGCAGGTACAAGGATTTTAAGTGGATTGTTCTAATAAAGGTTACATCTTTAAAGCCTCTGTGTAAGGAAAAGCCCATACGCTCCATGGAGTAATCTGGCATATGATCATAAAACTTGCGATACTGGCCAATTTAGAAAACTCTCGTTCTGCTGCACTAACCTTAGGAGAGTTGCACAGGTGCTGGAAGCACCAGACGTTGTTAAGTAGAGTGCAGATATTGCAATCAGTGTGTAACTTACTCCCAGATTTTAAGTGATACTGAAGTAAAAAAGGGGTGAATGTATTCAGGAATACAGGAAGTGTTATTTATTCAGCAGACAGGAATTTATTATGAAGCATGGATTGTTATAAATAGCTGTTCTTAGCTATTTTGTATTTTTAAGAAAATGTCTTTGTTGATCCTAAAAGAGGAGATTCTTCTGTCTGACTTTCTCATTAAAAGTGAGATGCCAGACACCAAAATTCAAATAGTGAGGCCAAACTCTACTGCGTTTATAGCATCAGAACATCAGAATTTTGCTAAGGTGCCAGATATGATTAATCACAGCTTATCGCAGAGCATCATCCAAAACAGGACAATGATCAGATACTGCAAGAAGTGCCAGATATGGAAGAAAACATGACGCATACAGGAAGAGCCACTAGCCTTGAATGTTACAATTCCAGAGTTTGGAGACAGGAACTACCAGAATATCCAACAATTAGTCACATGGTAATTAATCCTGATGAGTTGGAGTTGTTTATGTCTAACAGAAACCCTCACTATCTTACTTTCCCAATGTGATATTTAGTTGGTGCCATTGTACCCAGCAGATGTTGTTGCCATCGCTGTTATCATAAATATTATGTGACACACAGCAGGAGGTTCCGGCTCTGGTATCTCCTGGCTGTGACTTGATCATGCACCATCGGAGGTGAAACACCTCTATGCCACACTCCTCCTAATTCAAGACCTGGGATACTCATCACCTGAAAGCAGTGGATTTTTATTGCTGTATTATATGTGACATATAAATATATTTTATTTTTACACATCTGTGAATTGCTTAAAATATAAACTTGTATAGCCATCTGTTCTCACTACTGTTACGTTGCTATTTTTTCTCCCCATGAATTCTGTTGTACCGTGTTCCCACCTTGCATCTTGTCTTGAGATAAGGCTGAGCTTTTCTCAGCAAGGGCTGCCTTTCACCCTATTTCTGCAGTTCCTCACACAGTAATGACCCAGCTGGTACAGTTGGATTCTACTGAACTTAAGAAGATAAAATATGTATTTTTTTATGTTATATAACAAATGGATACCACCAACTCACAAGCAGCACATTTTAAAGAGCTACATAGCTGATGCTAAACTACTACAAATGGGTAGCAATTAATCTGTTCCACTAAATGTCAGTGTCCAGTGGAATGCCCATTTATTGCCTATCAATTGTCCCTGTGAGAGGATGGTTCTGAATTAATACTGAAAATGGTTGGATATAAAGTACTTCCAGGACACTAATAGCAGGAGTAATCACAATTCAGCATTAAAAAACGTTTTCTTGAGGATTTTTGTCACAAAACTTCAGATATCATTTAAAAACTGATCCCATGAGATAACAATGAGTTTTGATAAAGCCAATATATGAAGGCACATTCTTGCTTCTCTGAATCCAGGATATTGGCTGCTCTGCTTGTGCCAGCTGGCAAAGATTCCTAAGGGGCTGGCTGCCAGGTATGTGCCGTCAGAAAGCTCCAGCCGCTGCTACTCTTCTGTCCCTAGACCTCTCCTCTGGTGCCAGAGACTATAAGGAGATGATGTAGGAGCCAAAAATAGTAGCCACGGTTGGCACAGCTGGGGGACTACAGTCTTGGGGTGAATGGAGTGGAAGGAAGAATTTGCCTTACAAGTCCTGGATGTATCTGAACTGTATTTCCTTACAATCAAGTACAGAACACGCTGGGTCAACATGAGCGTGGCCTATCAGTATCCTCAGGCCCTGAGGCTGTTTAATGGGTTGCTGAGCCATGGTTATGCACCCATACCAGGAGCAGAATTAATCTTCTCAATTATACTGAGATTTCTTTTTCTGTCAGCGTGGGGTATAAAAATCCGCCTTGCTAAAAATGAATGTGTTAGTAAATGCTTGCAACTTTTTAGGAGCGATGACGAGTTCAGTTATTCCTTTCTGAAATCTAGCTCTTCCTAACGTTTTTTCAGAGCCTTCAGGTTACGGCCAGAGTGCTATTACCCTTTCCATCTTGTCGCGCAGCTAAAAGCCATTGAGGAGCTGCAGCGGGCTACCTGCAGCTATGTTGAATTATTCATGTGGACTAAAGGCGGTGGAACGACCCAGAGGGCACCCTGCTCGCCGGCTGAAGCAGCTCGGAGGTGG